CACTGTACAACTGAAACTGGGTGGTATGTTAATAACTAAACATCACGGTACAGCTTCTGAAACTGGGTGGTATGTTAATAATTAAACATCACTGTACAGCTTCTGAAACTGGGTGGTATGTTAATAATTAAATATCACCGTACAGCTTCTGAAATTGGGTGGTATGTTAGTAATTAAACATCACTGTACAACTGAAACTGGGTGGTATGTTAATAATTAAACATCACCGTACAGCTTCTGAAACTGGGTGGTATGTTAAGAATTAAATATCACCGTACAGCTTCGTGAAGAGAGTAATTTACAAAGTATGTCTGAAGCTATTTCTCTATGATAAATGAAATGAAACGAGACAAAACGTTCACTGTTTCTCAAACAAATGAATCCAAGGTATAAATAAATTTGAGAGTGTTTAAACCACGAAAAACAACTTTCAAACCGTAAACTTAGGTTTCACGGTCTATCTTTAGTAGAGGCACAAACAGAGGCCGGTGATACCAATCTCACTCGAAAGGAATATATATAGGAATGTGAAACGTGCAAGCGCTAATTAGGCAGTATATTCTTGGCCCGGTTCACGTGAGGTACTAATGAAGCCACTATTAGCACAGTAACCCAATATTCTAAATTCACTCTAGTAAACATCTTTGTAATTAATATTCAAATATACACGTTTCTACACATAGATGATCCGACCCTGATGTTACGTTCAAAAAATCAATTAAACGGCCTGACAATCATTGAGATGCTCTGTGTTAATAAATTGACATGAAGTCCAGCCCAATCCCAAAAGGACTATTTAAATGAATACAATAATATATGTTTATTCCGTTATTTCAGTGGGTTTACTTTGTTAACATGTTAATGAATGTTAAATACAAGAATAAAAATAGTTACTTTTCTAACGTACATACTAACACTATACTATTGTACGTGGTATACTTTGTGAAACAGGTACTCTTCTAACGTACATACCAACACTATACTATTGTACGTGGTACTCTGTGAAACAGGTACTACCACGTACAATAGTATAGGTACAAGACTTTGTGAAACAGGTACTCTTCTAACGTACATACCAACACTATACTATGCGTGGTACTTTGTGAAACAACAAAAACACTAATATCCCGTATATATAACACTAACATAATATTTCTGAAACAATCACTAATCTCACATACTTATTAACACTAGTGTATACGCGGTCCTCGTGCCATACAGGAAGCAGATCCGTGTTTCTACGTTAACAAAGAGCATCAGACCCATCTTTATACGTTAATAAAGAGCATCAGACCCATGTTTATACGTTAACAAAGGGTAGCACAACTAGGTTTCTACGTCAACAAGGGGCATCAGACCCATGTTTATACGTTAATAAAGAGCATCAGACCCATGTTTATACGTTATTAAAGAGCATCAGACCCATGTTTCTACGTTAACAAGGGGCAGCAGACCCATGTTTCTACGTTAATAAAGGGCATCTGACCCATGTTTATACGTTCATAAAGAGCATCAGACCCATGTTTCTACGTTAATAAAGAGCCTCAGACCCATGTTTATACGTTAACAAGGGGCAGCAGACCCATTTTTATACGTTAACAAAGGGTAGCACACCTATGTTTCTATGTCAACAAGGGGCATCAGACCCATGTTTCTACATTAACAAGTGGCAGCAGACCCATTTTTATACGTTAACAAAGGGTAGCACACCTATGTTTCTATGTCAACAAGGGGCATCAGACCCATGTTTCTACATTAACAAGTGGCAGCAGACCCATGTTTATACGTTAACAGAATGTAAGAACACCAAATCTACATATGTTGGCGAGACACATACAGAATGTAAGAATACCAAATCTGCATATGTTAGAGACACATACAGAATGTAAGAATACCAAATCTACACATGTTGGCGAGACACATATAGAATTTTGGTATTCTTACATTCTGTATGTGTCTCCAACATATGTAGATTTGGTATTCTTACATTCTGTATGTGTCTCCAACATATGTAGATTTGGTATTCTTACTCTACATATGTTGGAGACACATACACAACTGCATCTTATCCATACTTAAGCGCTGTTATTGCTACAACATAATACAATAATTTTTTTAATGACAAAAGTATGTTTCCTCCAAAAAGTGTAATAGCAAGGAGAAAAACAGGCGTTTTTGTCGCCTGTTTGAGGGTTTTATATTAACAAGTATTACGTTGCTATGTCACTGATGTTGCTTTAGAGAAACTGGCAACGTGTGGTTTGCTGTCGCAGGGATAGGGTCTCAAATTAAGGAAGTTGAATGTTCCTAACTGTATACACTATCTATGTGTGCTTTGTCGTTTCGGGGATCAAGCCTCGAATTATAGATGCTGATATGAATTATGAAGAGACAGAGAAATAACTGACAAAAGTTATAAACGAAACTTTACGTTTTCAAGGTGTACATCAGCTTTTTCTCTCTAGTGGGGGAAAAGGTAACATAAAACAAGCACACAAACGTGTTTTACGCTATTAACCGTTCTAAAGAAACAGCTGTAAAACCCGAGATGGAAATACCCTTCCTTAAAGTCGTAACAACTATAATTTATAGCTGGTAATAATCATGCCTATCTTAACAATATACAATTAATCAATTAAGATGGTTTTCATTTTTCACTAATACTCGTTAGTTTACTGGCAGTTCAAAAACACGGCTGAAAGGGCGAGCATGTTTGGTGGGACGGGGATTCGAACCAGCGACCCTCAGTTTGCGAGTCAAGCACCCTAACCACCTGGCCATGCTGGGCCCATAAAAACCTCGTGGTCACCAATTTAATGGTTAGTGACATTATTTCCTTGATGTACACAAATTTTAAATATTCTAAATGAATACAACTCACCCCGACCTTACCTCTACTCCCCCGAGTATTACACCACCCCCAAGAGACTTGGAAGGAGGAGCCTGTAATATGGTTAATAGTTTTATGTGTACACTTTCTCATGATTCCACGAAAGGATAAAGCTGGAATAAATTACGTTCATTGCTACATCCAAACAAACACGAATTATGAAACGCACATAATTTGTTCATACACGTTTTGCGTCACTAAAACCCTTGCGACGGTCGACTCGTCGCTCTGAGAACCTGATTGGTGGACGTTGTCAAGGGGTGGGACAGGCGGCAAGCACGTGCCACTAAACTGGGCGTACCTTCGTGCAAGGAGCTTAAAACTGCGAGGAAAGTTAGTATCTGGCCTGGCGCGGATTACAAAGGTGCATATTGGTTACTGGTGCGACTCCAGTTATGGTGTCTTGGTGATCAGAGCGAAATGTTGGTGCCGTCTGACATGATGGCAGCTCAGTCCAAACTTCTCTACCAGCTCAATAAGTTCTACGGTGAACGGGTGCAAGCCCGTAAAGCAACCATCTCCAAGACGGTGCGGGACGTCTGCAAGGTGGTGCAGGACGTGTTGAAAGAAGTGGAAGTACAGGAGCCTCGTTTCATCTCCTCCCTGAACGAGGGAAACGGTAGGTTCGAGGGGTTGGACGTCTTGTCACCTACCGAGTTCGAGGTCGTCTTATACCTCAATCAAATGGGGGTGTTTAACTTTGTGGACGACGGAACACTTCCGGGCTGTGCCGTCCTCAAACTCAGTGACGGTAGAAAACGATCCATGTCGCTGTGGGTAGAGTTCATTACAGCCTCGGGTTATCTGTCTGCTCGAAAGATCCGTAGTCGCTTTCAAACACTAGTGGCTCAAGCGTGCGATAAGAGCAGCTACCGTGACGTGGTCAAGATGGTGGCCGACACTACCGAGGTCAAATTGCGTATCAGAGAAAGGTACGTCGTCCAAATCACTCCTTCGTTCCGATGTAGCGGACTGTGGCCTCGTTCAGCTGCCCACTGGCCAATACCTCACATTTCCTGGCCAATCCCGAACTTAGTTACAGAAGTGAAAGCCGAGGGGTTTGACCTGCTGTCCAAGGACTGCGTCACACTCCAGGGGAAGCAATCTGCGATGGAAGGGGACGCTTGGGTACTAAACTTTTCAGAAGCCGAGGACAGACTTCTGGCCGGTGGTTGCCGAAAGAAATGCCTGAGTATCCTGAAGACGTTGCGGGACCGTCACCTAGACCTACCGGGCAATCCGGTCACCACCTACCACATCAAGACCCTGCTGCTGTACGAATGTGAAAAACACCCCCGGGAACTGGAATGGGACGAAATTTGTCTGGGGTATCGGCTAAACGGTATCCTCCTCCAACTGATTTCTTGTCTGCAGTGCCGTCGATGTCCTCATTACTTCTTACCTCATCTGGACCTTTTCAAAGGCAAGTCTGCCACTACGCTGGAGAACGCTGCCAAACAGTGTTGGCGTCTCATGCGTGAGCTTCTAACGGACAGCCGCTCTTTAGAGAAACTCTGAGCAGGCTTCCGAAAAACTCTTGACCAGTAAGTAGCCTTGGCCCAGTTTCCAGCAGTGTGAAATAGATGAGTTTCATCAGTGAGGTACGTGTTTTCCATCAACAATTTTAACGAAGTGAATGACCTGCGTATATTATTGTTGACCTATTACAACCTGTGAATATGAACGCAACAATATTTTGTTTATCCAGCATTGTAACGGTTTTTCAACATTTCAAAGAACACTGTTTGGTTGGCCTTGTGATATACCTATATGAAAACCTATGTGACAAGTTTTTAAAATGTTGTCTCAATATTTGAAACAAATACGAAAAACGCCTTGTATCATTTACTTACTTACGTCTACAGAATCTTATGTTTAAAGGTCAAATGATATCTGTTTTATGTCATATTTGATGTACAGTTAAACAATACTGTATATAGAAATAAAAAAGATCGTTTTATTTAATAAACTGTTGTTTTCTGGTTATAAATATTATTAACAATTGGATAACCGTATTGTTAGCCCAACTGTTTACATTTGGAGGACTAAAAGATGACTCATACAAAAAAGACTTTTTTCTTATCGAGATACGTTTCTTCTTCCCGTAGAAGATTAATAAAAATAGTCTGAACAACAATGTATTTATGCACCTTACTTTAAGGATATCAAACAGTATAATTTAGTCATTGTTATTTAAATCAAGCACCTAAGGAAAGATATGGAAGCTAAAGTAAATAAAGAACACTTAAAAATTAACATATTAATGTGTAATATATATATATATATATATATATATATATATACTGTAATACTGATGTAAAAATCCTTTAGTCCTGTCTCTCTTTCACACCAACCGCACTCTATCATACCAGTCCTGGACCCAAAGTATGTACGGTGGAAATTGTATTTAGTATGACAAGCAATATGTACGGTGAAAGCTGTATTTAGTATGACACGCAATATGTACGGTGAAAGTTATATTTAGTGGATTACACGCAATATGTACGGTGTGTAATCCACTAAATATAACTTTCACCGTACATATTGCGTGTCATACTAAATACAACTTTCACCGTACATATTGCGTGTCATACTAAATACAACTTCCACCTTACATATTGCGTGTCATACTAAATACAACTTTCACCGTACATATTGCGGAAGTTGTATTTAGTGGATTACACATCAGAACAAAGAGACGAAGTACAGTATGCTTTAAGAATGTAAGGTAAACAGTACTCTTTAACATTACACAGGTTCGTTTATTTGCTGTTAAACACGAAGCTACACAATCTGTGCTCTGCCCACCGCGGTTATCGATACCCGATACAAGTTCTTAGACTTACCGCTGGGCAACCTGGGGTGGAGATATTACACCGTAAATGAAACAATAAAATACAGGAACATTTAAAGTTTAAAGACCGTCTGTATATACTACTTACAGATTTGAAACAGAAGTAGAAGAACTCCAGAAAGCGATTATAGTTATGTGTGTTATAGTTATGAAATGTGGCTAACACATTTTATAATTTCAACACTAAACCACATCGATACTTCGCAAAGTAGAGCGTTTTTCAACTTTTTAGATACCACGGATATCTCTCTAAACACTGGCTGATCACCTACAACGACAAACCCTTACAGTTTACATGTGACTATTCTGTCAGTTCTTGTGAAATCTCGTTATCCGTCAATGTGGTTGTGACGGCCCGCTGGTTGAAAACAATGGTATAAACTTAATATATAATGGCTGAAGTCGTTACATTAATCTACGTCGCACTCATAATGGCTGAAGTCTTTACACTAATGTACGTCGGCACTCATAATGGCTGAAGTAGTTACACCAATGTACGTCGGCACTCATAATGGCTGAAGTAGTTACACCAATGTACGTCGGCACTCATAATGGCTGAAGTCTTTACACTAATGTACGTCGGCACTCATAATGGCTGAAGTAGTTACACCAATGTACGTCGGCACTCATAATGGTTGAAGTCCTTACAAGTGTCTACTCATCAACTAAAACAACAGTCAGAAACTTGAGAGTAACGGTCTAATATATGATAGAGAAGTCGGTATGAAGATGCACAATGGATGTAACGGTCTTTGTTAAAGTGTTGGCGAACCATTAGGATCTAGTTTATAATTGTCACTCCTGGTCAGTTATCCCTTATTGTCGCACGTGCATTACTGCCTTTTCCAATAAAGGTTTCTACTGAATGAGACACTCTCAACTATTTATCTGTCTTTCAACACTCGAATATAGCATCTTGTAACTGAAGCACCTGTCAGAAGGCATTTAAATATCAAGTCATTGTCACGTGACCTCGGTATGTAATACAAAACAGTGTTTCAATTACGGCCGTAGATGCGAGCTTAGTGTCGTTTACTGACCTCACAGAAACCGTGAAGTTGGCCGAAAAATGGTTTAAAAACACACACACAATATGCTTCTTGCCAACAAAGCACCGAGGATGTGACCTTTAAACGCACGTGTCCGAACTGGACCTAAAATGACTGGTTTGCAATAATATACGGTACTATCGTATTGGCCCATCATCACAAATAAAACTTCGAGATTAGGGTAAAAACAACATAACCTGAACAATCCAACACTGAACGTTAGTACTTTCCGGTTTTGTCCTGACTTTACAGAGATTAAGGTAAAAACCACACGACTTGAACAATCCTAGATTGAACGCTAGTACTTTCTGGTTCTGTCCCGACATAACAGAGATTAGGGTAAAAACAACATGACCTGAACAATCCTAGATTGAACGCTAGTACTTTCTGGTTTTGTCCTGACTTTACAGAGATTAGTGTACGCTAGTACTTTCTGGTTTTTCCCCGACTTTACAGAGATTAGGGTAAAAACAATATGACCCGAATAATCCTAGATTGAATGCTAATACTTTCTGGTTTTGTCCTGACTTTACAGAGATTATGGTACGCTAGTACTTTCTGGTTTTGTCCCGACTTTACAGAGATTAGGGTAAAAACACCATGACCTGAACAATCCTAGATTTAACGTTAGTACTTTCTGGTTTTGTCCTGACTTTATAGAGATTAGGAAAAAAACCACACGACCTGAACAATCCAAGATTGGACGAAGATACAATATAAGTATTATTATATCCTGATAATACACTTACAGGAT